TACGAAAACAACGAATTGCATTAAAGGATACAGGAATATATGTAAAACGGGATATGATTATTGAAGACTTTCAATTGAAGAAAACATTGAACGCTGTTATTAAACGTGCTTACGATGAGGGGAAACGACCTATTTTTCGAAGAGGTGTGTTGTACATTGATGGAAAGCAGTATTCGCCTAATAAAAGATGATGTGGTGTAAAGTTATAAATCTGACAGTGGGTAAGAAGAAAAAAAAACCTGTTGAATTTTATTGAGGTATGTCTTTATATATGATTTATTTATCAATTATGACTAAATAAGTGGTAATTACTATACAGTTTCTTTCCCATGTTGGATGTATTATTAAGTGTAAGTGACTCCAGACAAATTAGTTATAGCTATATATCCGACATGAGGTAAGGAAAAAAAAAAACACTGTTGAGTTTTATTTAATTATGTATTTATATGGTTTATTTAGAAAACTGTTTATGGTCATTTTTTTAGGGTTGTGCCAGACTGGCAATATAACTTTTTGCTTAATGACTAAGTCAGTGGTAATTAATTTACAGTTTCTTTCTCGTGTTGAATGTATCATCTGATTAAGTGTAACATTTTTAAACTGGTATCATACTTATAGTTGGGGTTGTTGAAACAATAATATGGCACTGAGTGTGTGTTATTGGGATGTGAATTATGATTCACGGAGCTGCAGCATTATTGCATTAATACATATTTTGTCAGTAATATTTAAGTGCCAGTAAATTTTTTTTTTCTTTTTCCTTTTTTTTTGTGGGTATAATTTATTATGACTTCACTTAAAATTTTAAGTTTGAATGTTAGGGGGATGAGACATTTGTATAGTAAACGAAAAGCTGTTTTTAGATTTTTTAGACAGCAAAGGGGAGACATTATTTTGGTTCAAGAAACTCATAGTTGTGGAGTGGGGTGGCAGTGTCATTTATTCGCATGGCACACAAATTTTTTTAATAAGAATTTAAATGTTACTATTAGAAACAAGCTGGTGGATAATGATGGGAGGTATATTTTTGTTGAAGTGGAAATTAATGATCTGGTTTTAGTCATAGCAAATCTATATGTACCCAATAAGGAAAATGAACAAATTGAATTCTTAGCCACTGTAAGAGGTTTATTGATTATAACTTTCCAAATTGTAATTTAATAATTGGAGGTGATCTAAACATCCCTCTTG